ACATATCACATAACATAATTTGCATAAATAAAAGATAAAATAATTTTTTTCCCAAAGATGGTGAGAACAGGGTATATTATAGTAGAAAGAAAAAAGAATAATTAGGTATTAGCTGGAAAGAGGGAAGGCCTGCCTGAACATCCATGTTTTCAGTTGTTTCTTAAAAATACCCAGCGAGGGAGCTGCGTGAATCTCAGGAGGTAAGTTGTTCCAGAGGCGAGGAGCCATCGCCGAGAAGGCCCGGTTTCTTGTTTTTTCCTTCCGGGCCTCCCTCGGCGTCAGGCTCCTCAGCCTTACCTCCTGACTCGCACTGGTGACATGGATAGAACTGGGTGGGAGTAAGCATTCTGCCAAGTATTGAGGCCCTAAACCGTTTAGGGCTTTAAACATAAGCATCAGAACTTTGAAGTCAACGCGGAACCGAATGGGCAGCCAATGCAGCGCGGCCAGAATAGGAGAAATGTGATGGTATCTTCGCGCTCCACTTAGGAGTCTGGCTGCTGCATTCTGCACCACTTGGAGTTTCCGCGTCAGCCTCAAAGGTAGCCCCACGTAGAGCATGTTACAGTGGTTTAATCTTGAGATTACGAGCGCATGGACCAAGGTGGTAAGTGCCCCCACATCGAGATAGGGTCGCAGCCGGGCTATCCGCCACAGATGAAAAAAGGCGGTGCGGACCACCGACGCCACCTGAGTCTCCATGGAGAGTGCCAGGTCCAGATGGATCCCCAGACTTTGCAGCAAGTGTCACCCTCCCAAACGAGAGGGAAGCGCCCAAGCCGCCAACAGTTAGACCTCATTCCCTTGTGAGAATTATTCAGATGGTAGATTGCTGCTTCTAAGATTTCAAATTAAACAGCAGCATTCTTGAAGACCATTATCAAAGGAAAGGTACTCGAAAATACTTGTTCAGCCAACTGTTCTGCATCCTTTGCATGTGCAGATCCAATCACATGTGAGAATCCTGAGCAAGAGGCAAGGTTGACCAAGGGTGTGATCACATGGGCATGTAATTCACATTTTGGACCACTTGTGCCACAGTCCAGTGTGAGCTATTTCCTGTTGGTCACATTTCTGTGGAATAGTGCCCCAACCCAATCCCAATCTATGCCCAAACTTGAATTTTTTTGATCCTGTAATAGGGCTACTAATTTGGGTGGCTGGTCTGGATTGATTCCCCAACAGACAGGAGGCATGCTTTAAAGTATATCACTCCTAGCAAAGTGACCCTTTCTGGTGTGATCACCTTTCTCTCCCACCATCTTGCTAAATGTAGTTCTGAGTTTTGTGTCCTTGAGATAATGCTGAGTAACCTAATAGCCCATTATAACTGCAAATGAGAATATTGTTTGAAACTGCTTGAATCCTTTTCTTAGGTATATCGCCTATTGATTCCTGTATGCCAAGAACTAGGAAAATTATCTTGTGCCACCTCCTTGGTTTCAGGACTGACCAGTAACAATGAGTCAAGATGGCGGACATTGCGTCAATTCACACTTTCCACCCTGCGGGACTTTGGGATGGGGAAGAAAACAATGTCCAAGAAGGTGCAGGAGGAAGCTGTTTGCCTAGTGGATGAAATAGCAACCACAGAAGGTAATCTCACATCCCATCTGTTCCATTAATAACAATAGTCTTGTTGTTGTTGTAATGTTGATTTATGGAAAGACTTTTGGGGTAACTCTCCCACACCAATGACATAAATAATCTAAAATCACAAGTGGCAAGGGTGACTACAGAGAAGATCCTAACCTCATACAGTATTTATATATGTATTTATTTTATTTATACCCGCCTATCTGGTCTTGCGACCACTTATATCTGCCAGCCTTGTGATTTTGGCAAATAGGAACACAAGTCTGGTCTATGATGTTGATTTCGAAGAGTAGGGAGGGTGGTATGGTTGAAAATGTCCATTCAGGTAAGCCAGATTCAACCATTTATTGTTTCAAAGGGCTATACTGGCAGTTCAGATTGGGCCCAGAAATGTGGTAGCTGGTAGCGCAGCTGGGACAATGTAAAGATTTCATCATCTGACCATCTGAAATCTACAAATACTTAATGGCCACCTTATGAACCAGATACATTTTTGAACTGTCTTCAAAGGCAGCCTGTGCACCCCACCAACTCCCCTTCCTGCAGGAACAGTGGGGCCTGGTTTCCCCAGCAACACCTCCATGGGCTCCAGCTCAGCTTCTTGATTTCCCACCGCTTTTATTAGTGGCACAGTGGCACTTCCCCCATGCTTCCCCCCCCACACACACACAGTCTCATGTGGCTGAATTATATTCTTTGAACCTTTGAATGCCACTTGCCAACTTGGGGACCCAGTCAACTTCACTGGAGTTCCCCATTGTCCAGGCTTTGGAAAGCAAGAAAGCAGGAAGGAGATGAGAGCTTAGGTCCAGGAAGCGCCCCCCTTAGGGAAGGTATTTATAGATGAACAAAAGAAGTCAGGTTTGGTTTGGCACCAAAGTCAAAAGAGGAACTGGTTCGGTGTGTTGAGGTTTTTATTAGTGCTGTGGGAGAAATAATGCAGCCATCTTGTCTTTACTTGTTCCAGTACTCTGGCTGGAGTCTGAATTTCTCTGATGTATACACCGAGGACTGGAATAAACACAGGGGCCAGAATCTTGCTAGCTATGCTTGCAAGCATAATACAAAGAATGCAACTATTGTAAGTGAATTGCCCCAAGTTAGGAAGTTGCCATAAACAATGTATATTACATCTTGAATTGCACGATTCAATGTGGAAGAGTTTACATCTACAGTGATTTCTTAAGCTGTTGCAATTTGCCTCCAAAAGATATGCTCCTTGCTCTACATGGGCATTAAACCCCAGCAAAAACTTCACTATTCTGTATCAGTATCAAGTCTCTGGTTTTCGAATTCACCTGCCGCCTATTTCTTATGGTGCATCTAAAACTGCACTGCAGAAAGTAATAGAAAATCATGCAGAGGAGATTAACATGGAATAATGATACTGAAAGATGAAGAGCACCTTGGATATAGAATTTCCTGTGCATGGATTTCAGATATATTCAGTCCTTTCCACAGGAAAGAAAAATGCCTTGGATTAGTTTATAACTAGCAAGATTAGTTTATTTTGCATTTGGAGTCTGTAATGCAACTGGAGGAAAATGGGATCCACTCTGCCAGGCAACCCTTACTGCCTTTTCATATTTTCAGGGCAAGCATTTGATCTGAGAAGTATCATCGCAAGTGCTGCTTCTAATGTGATCTGCTCCGTTGTCTTTGGGAATCGGTTTGACTACCAAGATAAACATTTCCAAGAACTCTTGTGCATTTTGGACAACTACATGTACTTCCATCGTAGTTTCTTGGGAGTGGTATGTTGTTCCTTCTGCATTTGGAGCATAGGTTTTATATCTGGTGTGTTTTGAGTATGTGATCATCTTAATGCCTTTGTGAATCCCTTCCTACAACAGTACATACAGTTGGCTTACTTAATTATCTTGTTTCTATGGGATTTCTGTTTTTACTTTCCTGTATTTTCTTTATTTGGGGTGAATTATAGTAATGACAAGACAATTGTATGAATTTATATTTAGGATATGTTCTCACCCATTTCACACTGTTTCAGTACTTCTCATTAGCTAGCCTCCTTACAATACTGCTGATAGTGCCATGTTGTGCAGCTTTCTATATACACTGGCTCCTTGCTGATAGTTTGAGTGTGGTAATGTTAACTATATCTTCTTTTTCTTCTTCAAAAAATTATCATTTGTTCTTCACTTTCTTTTCATCTTCCTTCTCATTATCTTGCAACAAAATCTCCATATGCTCCTCTCCCAACACTAGCAATAAAATCACCCTTCATGAAATATAGAATGTTCCTTTTATATATAATACCTTTGATTTCTTCTTAGAATTTTGCAGTGCTTTCTTCATCTTTAACCGTAGCTGAGGCATAGTTGGATAAATACTGTATTATCCAGTCTGAATCTGGAATAACATTTGTAATGGCTGTATTTCTGTCTTTTGTTACTTAGATTGCAAGTCCGGAACACTAGTATGCATCCTTACTACTCAAATAGAACATAAAGCTCAGAGTGGTCACATAGACCAGACGGGCAGAATACAAATCAAATCAAATCAAATCAAATCAAATCATCAATCAATCAATCAATCAATCAATCAATCAATCAATCAATCAATCAATCAATCAAGAAAGAAAGAAAGAAAGAAAGAAAGAAAGAAAGAAAGAAAGAAAGAAAGAAAGAAAGAAAGAAAGAAAGAAAGAAAGAAAGAAAGAAAGAAAGAAAGAGTACATCTGCGTGACTGGCCAATGAATTTCACTTTATCAAAGGATTTGAATAAGTGATATTCTTTTTTTTTAAAATCCTTCTGCTGCATTTGTAGATTCTTCCTGCCTCACACATACTGTGAACATTCTAAGTTTTAATATAACTTTCAGTACAAGATTCACTGCCCCCTCTGGCCATCTGATGCTTCCTGGAGACTGGGACATTTGTGCCTGTTTGAGTAGCCATGATCATTAAACCTGGAGGAAAAAAATGTGGGGGCTTTCTATTGCTTTCCACACTTTGGTGTGATGACCAGTTTCAATGGCTACCATGAAACTACTGTTTTCCACAGTGAAGCCCAACTGGAATTCTTTGTTTTGACTTCTGGTATTGAAAAGGTCTTACTGTTGCCCAAGGTCAGCTGAGATTTAAAGACGATTTACTTCCTCAGAGCTTTACAGGCCTCCTGGTTAAGCTCCTTCACCCAAAGCCTCTGGAAATGTAATGTGGCCTGGGAAACCAAACTAAAAGCAATGTAAAAAGGTAGGGATGGAGAAGGGAGGAGGACTAAAATAAAGTAAAATAAAATAAAATAAAGGGTGAGTGACCACTGCTGTGAATCGTGATTGTGGCGGAACCCCCAGGTCACGCCTGTCCATCATGGGCAGCTCAAGGGCAGGAGCCTATGAGAGGACAGGAGGGGCGGAACCAAAAGGACAGTTAGACAGTTAGTTAGGCAGTTAGGGAGAGGAGTTGGAAAAAAAAAGAGGTTGGAGATAGGGAATTGAAGAGAGAGAGAGTTAAGAGACTGGAGAAAGTTAAAATAGAGATTGGAAAGTGGAATGCTAGAGCGAATAGGAAAGAGTTCCAATGTATAGAGAATAAATTGATAGTCAAAGAATATTGTAACAGTAATAAATACAGATGCCAACCAACGTGAAAGCAAAATATATTTAATGAATAATCCTAAACATCTGTGATTTTCTCCTGTGATTTGCATGACAACTATAAGATCAATAAATCTATTGTATTGGCAGCACGTGTCTTAGATCTATATATTTGGTATTGAGTGAATAATACCTGGTGGCAGTGATCAACTAAAATTTCCTCCTCCATCCTCCTAAATTACAGAAATAATGTCCAGTTTTCAAAGCAGAAATAGGAAGGTAACAAGTACTTGTTACTTATTCTCATTGATTTAGTCTGTCTTAACACTACGGGCCACCCAGAAGAGAAATTTCAAAGCCTTGTGAGATTTTTCACCTCCAGAACAAGACTTAAAAACAAACAAACAAGGTTTTCAGCACGTACGTGGCTTCTCTTTTAAAAAGACACAAACAACCTGTTTGGGGCTTCTGATTCCTAAAAGTCAGCACAAAAGGCAGCAGTGATTATACTTTTTAATATTTTATGCAAATTGTGCAAGTCACATAATTTGAATAAAAAATTAAGTAGATTGCATAAGAAAGCATACAAGCAATTTCTCCTTTTCTTTGAGAAGAGAAGCAAAGATTCACACGCTGAAATCAAGCAGCCTAATGTGTTCTCTGAAGAAAAATCCGATCCTTGCAGTAATTGCCAGAAGCCTCTTTTTCAACCTTTCATTCTCCCTTCCCAGCACAACTGAGCCCAATGTACTTGCTATTTCTGTTTCTGTAACACTAATTGCAGCAGATACTACTTGGTATGCAATTGGCATTGCTGAGGAGGGTTTTACCTCTCTCCTTCCTGAACCAGCCCACTATATTTGTGTGCATGTGTAAACAGGTGTATGTATGTTTGTATGTATGCAGCTCCTTCCCCTCCTCACAACCCTTTGGGGTGTTCTTGGTCTAGGCTGGGCTGTACTGTACTCTCTTGGCTATCAAAGAGAGGGACACTTCTTATGGTTTTTCTGTGAACCATATGAGTAATGATATCGGTCTTTGAGTCGCCTGGGTGATGGAAGTAAGAGACCTGGTCCCTGATGGCTGATCCCCTGAACCTAATTCCACCTCCCCAATATCCCTGGTACTAAATCATTTGTGTCTGGTGTTTTCACCTACAGAGATTTTGTACAATGCTCAACTCCTCTTACCTTCTATATTCTATGAGACGTTTACAAGTTCCTGGACATAAACGGCAACACCATTCCCAATGAATCTGACTAGTTTTACAGAGTAACTGTTTGTATTTTAGACCCAACACCCAACTATCCCCATCTTGGCTTAAAAGCAACAGGCAATACCATATGGTCACCTCTGTGTTAATCTGAACTCTTGGCATATACATTTTTCCTTTGACCCTTGTATAAACAACTATTATTAGTTGGACTGTGTTACTTGGCCTGTGGTGTAGATGTTTGTATTTTTAGTGGGGGATTTTTTAGTGGATGAGGAATGTTTGGGGAATTTTATGTGTGTGCATGTGTCTGGTCTCTGGGTGTCTGTGAATTTCGTTGTATGGGTATACTGTGTATATACTTACAATGACAATAAATGATGATGATGATGATGATGATGATGATGATGATGATGATGATGATGATGATGATGATTAAAGCATCATACAGATAGCTAACCAATGGCACATATTTATAGCAGGAGTGTGCTACCTACTGTCCAGTTATGGTATGCTACCCTCATCACTCAGTTTTCCAGTGCAGGATATGTGTGCATATATGTCAGGAGAGAAGGAATATGTTTATGTATGTGCACTGAGATATGGTTTGTATGTATATGTGTACATGTCTGTGAGAGTGTGTGTGTGTAGGTGTAGGAATATGAGCCTGTGTGTATGCATATTTGTGCAGCCCCTGCCCTTTTGGTCAACATTAGGTGTGGGGCACCCTTGATATACACCATGATTCCTCAGGAATGTCATTCTGAACCAGACGCTCCTCAGCTCCTGTTGGCTTTTTACAAGCAATCAGTCTAAACACTGCTCTGTGGGAGGATAAATTCATGATATCAGAAGCCGTGCCTATAATCTCTGTTTTAGGTGTACAGTTTCATCCCGCAAATAATGAATTATCTGCCTGGAAGACACAAGAAGATATTTGCTGATTGTGAGAAGCTTTGTGCCTTCATCCGTGGGAAAGTGGAATCCCACAAGGAGAACCTGGATCCACAAAACCCCTCTGACTATATTGATTGCTTCCTTCTCAGGTCAGAGAAGGTAAGAGGAGCCAAAACTGACATTTCCCTCTCTGCAACTCCTTAAGTATCAGGGACACATCCAGTCTGAACTTCAAGTTTCTCTCCTGCTTCTTATTACTTATTACTCTTGCAAAACCACCTCACATTCTCAAGATATGTTCCTCTTTTGGCTTTGGTGACACTCTCTTTAAGCTCAAATAGCGAGGTCGCTCTTAAATTGTGTTTACAGATTAACCCAAGTGGATTTATACTCATTTTTAGACTGTGTTCATTGCTTAAATTCATTAACTTTCTAGAATGCCTCCTGCAGACCATGTTAACGTAAGCTCATAATACTGTGCCATCTATTTGGGGGGGGGGAATGATGACACCGAAGGATTGAAAAGTGTTGCAGCTTCTGTTATTAATTTGAGCAGATGGATTAAACTGGTTATTCAATGTATGGGGTTCCTGTATTTGAAATTCCCCATCTTGGATATTTCTTTGGCAAGGTTTGTGTATTAAGACATGATAAATCTGGGGGTGTGTGTGTGAGAGGCATTCCCTGCAGATGTTTTTCCAAAATGGATCCTTCTTTCCTAAAATCAGATTATGGGATTGAAATCTGTGAAATGGTGATGACCATCCAGTCAAAAAGACTCAGAGTCTCTCTCTCTCTCTCTCTCTCTCTCTCTCTCTCTCTCTCTCTCTGTATGGTATTTCAGTGATGTAGCCATTTGGGGGTGTGATGTTCTGGTTCTGGCAGGAGACATGCAAAAGCAAACCACCTTGATTTCTGGAGAACCTTTCTATGGAAGGACCAAGCAAGACCAGGAGCTCGGGCG